TATATGCAGGTATATACACCAGCTCAACATAGCTAATTGACAGCTTTTCCTGATATCATGGTTTTCTGCTGAGTTTAATAAAAAGAACTCCCTGTGGACTTTACTCCGCTAGTCATTGCTGACTACAGAGGATGGTGCTCATCTCTGTTTTAAGACCATTGAGCCATCACTGTCTGAAGACATTTCTGTGGTCATGTAGCCAGCATGATGTCACGGAACACTGTTACCTTTCCGCCATAATGGTACCTATTTATCTACTTGCATTTGCATGTTTTCAAACTGCCAGGTTGGCAGGAGCTGGGGTGAGGATGGGAGGTCACTCCATTGCACAGAGCTCGTCTCAAACCTGGCCCAAACCTTTCCAACCAATAAGCCCAGCATCTTAACCGCTGAGCTACCCTGCTGCCTCGCTGAGTTTAATAGATAAATACCACTGAGTGTAATATTCATCTACATATTTGTAGTCTGGCACTAAATAGAGTCACTTATAAGTACTATTAAAACAGTTAGGATTCCCTGATTTTACTGTAGACCTTCAATATTTAATTACATTTTTTTAAAAAACTGTTAATGTCAATATTAAAGTATTCTATTTATAGATGGTCTTGTAATTTAATAATCTTTCGAAGAACAATATTCCTCAGCTGTTTCATGCACAGTATTTGTACTCAGTATTTCTAGAAGATATTTCTTGAGGAGAAAGTAGCCCCCTAAATGAAATTAAATAATCTTCAGAAATAAAGTATTTCTTCCACATTTATTGCCAACCCTGAATTTCAGTCAATTAAAATTTGTACTGAAGGCTTTTCAGCTTGAAACAAGCCCTGTGCCTGTGATGAGCAATCCTTCTTGTTTGTGCAGTCATTCATTATCTCCATTACCAAGAGGAAAATAGAGGACAATTACATTGTTTGGACGAATCAGAGTGTTAGGAGGAGTATTTATCATGGTGGCAGAGTGCAGCACCTGACAGCAAAGGATTGATGGCCAGGAATGAGTGAGTGGCCAAAGCAGCCTCATATGATGCAAATTACTGACTGTGGATTCCAATTTATCCTGTTCATTTTTCTTTCCTATTCTGAAGACTATTAGTGGTTTTTGAAGCAGTGAAAGGGTCATTACTAATACGGTCTCAAAGCAAGAGGGGAAGGAAGGGAAAAGCCTTCTATAATTACAGGGCTTAAAAAAAAAAATACTTGAGGAACTAGCCAAAAAAGTGTCAACACTTAGCAATCAGAAAAATTTATTTTCATTTCATCCTTAACCCACATTAACTCAACGTTATCATTCTTCTTTGTTAATATTTTCAGAATATTAAAAGCCTTATTTCTGTATTCATTCACATCTACTTAACCCTTTTTCTGAAGAGCTATATTGTTTAGCTTGCCATGACACTATTCTTGATGTTAATATAGTAAGAACATTTTAAAATGGGGCTGCAAAATACCTTTATAAAAATAATCCCAGGCTGTAATTTTTAACAATTGAGTCATTTGGCTCCTAACAGGATTTGTATAGGTATATTGTTAGCATATATTTGCATGATAAAACAATATCAGTACTGTTGAAAGAAAACAGCTCCACTTTTTATGTTAGTTGTGATATCAAATGATATTAACAAAATTTAAAATTAGGTATTCTGTACTTGAGACAGGTATATTGAAAAAATAAATATATATTTAATATAAGGAATATGTAATATTAATGCTTATTTCAACTAAATCTCATTGTTTTATTGATGAAATAATTCTAAAAAGATCTCAAAGAATAAGGCAAGGTTTATTTATGCAAATGTTTTAATTTATTTTTGCTCTTTTACTCTCTTATCATGGAAAAATTAGTAATGAGTAGTGTAACTCAGCAAGCAATTACTATTAAATATGTTCTGTTTTAGTCATCAGACATTGCTGAACCAGACATTGATCAAGATTTGTCTAAGGGGTCTGCTATATAATTATCTATAATCTTGACCAATGAGATAAAGAACAAGGTTCCCTTGATGGTGTCTCCTTGAAATCAACTATGCTGAGGAATTGTGTATGCACAATTCTGGAAACTGTGGAATTTTTCTGTTTAGAAAATATTTTAACAAGTGTTCAAGGGGGATACTGTTGTATTTCCTTAATATTATTTGGAATAGTACATGTAATATTAAGAGGTTTTAGATTTATTCCTTACCTTCCTGTAATATAGTATCCATGGTATTCCCTTTGAGTTTTCCCAAAACAATTGTATGGTATATGTTATGCTGAGAAATAAAATGACTCAAATTGTGGTCATTCAGTCTTAGTACAATGTCATTACCATTACACTATATTGGCTTTTAGCTATGGTTTATTGTAACCCATACAAGCCTGGTTCACATATAATATTAAAGCATAATAGTTAATTTCATACCTACTTTATGGCATAGCATTATGTAAACCAGTTCTTAACTGTTTTGTTGGGATATATTTATTTTAATTTTGTGTGTCATATTAAAATCCTGAGGAATACTTAATCACTAAATATTTTATAAATGCAAAGCCTTCTGAAACTCATTAAACCATTAGTGCAGTACCGTATATTCATAAATCATCAACTTAATTGATTGTTTCCAATATCATTATCCAGTCCAGTGTGTTCCAGATCCATTGGACGTAAAAATCCATAATTTTTATCCAGCTTGAAAAAGTATTCTAATAACAGAATAACAGAGTTGGAAGGCATCTTGGAGGTCATCGAGTCCAGCCCCTGGTCGAGGAGGAGACCCTATACCATTTCAAACAAATGGCTGTCCAGTTTCTGCTTGAAAGCCTACAATGGTGGGGCACCCACAACTTCTGAAGGCAAGCCATTCCGCTGGTTAATTGTTCTCACTGTTAGGAAATTTCTCCTTAGTTCTAGGTTGCTTCTCTCCCTGATTAGTTTCCATCCATTGTTTCTTGTCTTGCCTTCAGGTGCTTTGGAAAATAGTTTGACCCCCTCATCATTGTGGCAGCCCCTCAAATACTTTCTACCAATTTCTTCTGACCCTGACTAATTGAAAATACTGCCAGGTAAACAGCAATGCAAATATACTTTATTTCCATCCAGAAAATCTCCTTGAAATAATTCCTGGGCACATTGCACTGCTTATGTTTCAGTCACCCCTAGATAAGGATCAAACTTTGAGGGGTAAGGAAGAAGAAGACATAGATCCGCTATATCCTAGGCAAATTCCTTGAGATACTTACAAATCTGTGAACCATATCAAGGGTGGGAATAGATTTATGGCCTATATATTATGCAGTTTCAGTGCAGTACTTTTAGAAGGATTCCAGTGTAGATTTTATGATTATAAATAGCTTATTCCTCATCCTATATATTCTATATCAACATATTGCAGTGGAGTTGACTATCATGATTCCTAAGAAGAAGAATTGAATATAACTTTTCAAGTTAAAATATAGAACACCTTACCATAGACAAGGTAGTAATATTTTTGGTGAAAATACATATTTGGAAATCCATTTCTTAATCCTTTTCCAAATGTTTAAAAACATTTAATACTACTGTTATGACCTTCCTTGGGTCAGGCTGTAATCCAGTATTGATTTGCAATGAAAAATAGCAAGTTTTCAAAACTATCAATCATATGTCTGTCCATCCATCCATCCATCCATCCATTCATCCATCCAATTAGTACTGAGAAATCTTTTGAGGGAGTTTACACCTTAACCTATTTTGAGTTTAACATTCTCGGCCTATGGTCGTTTCTCTGAAATATTTTCCTTTGTCAGATGGGAAGATAAATGTATACTAAACAAGTAGCTCTACTGTACAATTGTAAGTGGCATCAATGTGATAAGGGGTACATAAATAAATTATGATAATACAGATCTGAAGAGCAGGTTGTCCTCCTAGATCAGTGGTTCTCAACCTGTGGGTCGGGACCCCATTTGGGGTCGAACGACCATTTCACGGGGGTCGCCAAACAAGGCTGTCCACCATTTTCCCCCCTTTTCTTTGGCCACGCCCCTGGCACCCGGTGATGTATAAGTGGTTGGGGGTCACCACAACATGGGGAACTGTATTATGGGGTCGCGGCATTAGAAAGGTTGAGAACCACTGTCCTAGATTGATTGATTTACATATCACACGACTTACAAGCAAAGTTCCAGCCTTTTTGCACCAATGAGCACTTGTGGAATTTTGAGAACATGATGTAGACACTCTGACCATGCTAACCATGCATTTTGTCAATCACAGCATATTCATATATAATAAAGTAAAAGTTGTATGCTAGGGCCTGTACATATAATTCAGCAGTGCATTTTGCTTAGGAGTGATTTGTATTGAGATCCATACTTAACCACAGATCATCAAATCCTATCAATGAGGCTTGGCTCTGAAGCTTATACAAAATCCTAAGTATCCTTAGGATAGTGGCTGATTCATGTCTTTGATCTGCTGATTCAGACACTGGACTTCACAAGCTGTGCTTAAAGCTGGATAATTGTTGTTCTGACTTGCTTTGTGGTATATTATAATTGTTATTAAAAATCATTTGATAGGTGTCACAAGAAGTATCATGTTAAAGATCCAGGATCTTTGTTATAATATGGTTTGTTTGGTTTTAGCTTAATGTGTATGAATCTAGCCACTGTATTTTATAAAGATTTAAAAACGTTGCATTGTATGTAGTTAACTAATTGTGGTTTAATGAATAAACTGTATAAAGGAAAACATGCTTTAGTGCAATATCTGAACCCAGGAATTGGCAATTGATAGTGCAATTTCAAATATATGCTTTGTATTTTATATATGACATGTATACTGTTTGATTGTTGTGCCCATCTGATAATGTTTCACAGGATAGGCAAATTTGAAGAATGATTTAGGAGTGTATATAATAAGTCAATGAATGTAAGTGATAAACTGAAGTTACATTAAACCTATACACAGCAAAGATGCTTTCATTTTTAAAGCATTATCTTTCTTAAGTTTTGATTCATTTTTAAAACATTTCTTTTTATTAGCATCCGTATCCTTCAGAGGAGCAGAAGAAACAGTTAGCTCAAGACACAGGACTTACAATTCTACAAGTAAACAACTG